GGCGCCTGTGGCTCAAGTGGCTAAGGCACCAGCCACATACACCTAAGTTGGCGAGTTCGAATCCAACCCGGGCCTGCCAAACAACAATGACGGCTGCACCCAAAAAATAGCCAGGCATTGTGGTGGGTGCCTGTGGTCCCAGCTACTTGGGAGGCTGAGGCAGGAGACTCGCTTGAACCCAGGAGTTGGAGGCTGCTGTGAGATGTGATGCCACGGCACTCTACCCGGGGGAGAAGGCTGGTAGAGCCTTTTTTTGAGGCTCTGTCTCAAAAAAAACAAAAAAACAAAAAAACTGTTATTAGTAATTAGAGAAAAAGATAGCATGAAGTCTGAAGCTAGCTACAGAATAAGCATAGGTACTGACAAATAGGAACAGAAGTGGGCCGAGATGAGTAGACAGGAAGGAGAAACTGTACCGACTCTGAAAGTCAAGGGGTCAGAGTTTCTAGAATTTGTAAAATATTAGAAGGAAGTTAAAAAGAGAGATGTAATACATAAGAAAAAAGATGTGAAGAAAACATGAAAATTCTCCCTATTCCCCCACCCACACATAAAAGTCGCTAATGTCTTTTTCTTGTCAGATTTTAGAATGTGAATTTAAAAGTATATAGATCACTGACCGTCACCTGCTTTTGTCACTTTAATAAACATCAGTATCTTTATAGCAGTACACATGGCTGTGATTTTCATTGCTGTAGAGCATTCCATTACACGGTGGGGCATGTTAGTAGATATTTAGGTTATTTTCTTTCCTATATTATAAACAATATTCATTTCTGTCTCTAATGCCATTATTACCATTGAGGCTGTCTTTGCTTGCCTACATTGTATTAGTCTCTTAATTTTAATTTTGTTCTTTACCTATTCCTACCCTGTTCTCCATAGTAGTTGGCTCCCCCCCCCCGCCCCACAGTTCTGGGGTTTCCTGTCATTCTGCTTGGTATTTTTAGTGTGGGAGGAAAACGTGTAGAGCCCCGTCATTTCATAGAAACAATTTAATTTTGTTCTTTTTCTATTATGGAACTCCCTCCTGCCCAGAAGTACGGTTATTGAACATAAAGCAAATAAGCATTATGAAATTTAATGAGACAAGATTAGAAGTCTTCATGTACACTGGGTTTGTTTTAATTTTGTACTCAACTAAGGAGCTGTATTGGTTGTCTACACTTAGGAAGTTTTAGTCGGTTTTATCTTATTTTTTCTTTTTTCCCCTCTCTCACCTTTCTCTCCTTCCTTTTTGTTTTCTTTCTTAAAGCCAGGATATAAGGAATGTTCTTGTTTTGATTTTTTTCTAAGGATATTTTGCATAATTTTGACTTGTTTGTTGTCTGTGACTGCTTTGGTTAAGCTACAGCTTAATTGAGTCTAGGGGTTTAACATAGACCCTCTGTAAATTATAGAAAATTGTTGGAGTTTCTATACAATAAATTATTATTTTAGAGAAAAGGAAAGGAGTTTCAGATTATATTTTCAGTGGTTGCTGGGACTGTCATAAGTGATCCATGTGGCTATTTTAAATGGAATAGTGGTAACGTAGCCTAGTCATTGTAAAGCCATGTGAATTAAACACCTTTTTCACATCCGGCAGAGAGGAACTGGTAGTCAGGGAGGGAGAACAGATATGAGTGACTGAGCTTAGTCTACTGACTTTCCGGATCATATAGTTGTATCAAGCCTTGGATGTGCTTTAGAAAGAGTTACGGAGCTCAGTGCCTGTGGCTCAAGTGGCTAAGGCGCCAGCCACATACACCTAAGGTGGTGGGTTTGAATCCAGCCCGGACC